GTTTCTTTAGTCTCAAACGCCTTCCCAGAGAAGTACCTGCACTTACTTATTTTCCTTCCACTCCTCGACCAGGCCCCTATCCCGTAGGTGACTTTATCTGTTTACTTTGTCTACATACATTGTCATGACTCTTCTCATTTTTTCTGGCCATTTAAAAATGTAAAAACCAGTGGGGCGGGTATAGCTCAGTGGTAGAGCACGTGCTTAGCATGCATGGGTCCTGGATTTAATCCCAGTACCTCCATTAAAAAACAATGATAAATAACTTTCTCCTCCCAAAGCAAATAAAAATGTAAAAACCATCCTTAGTGCTCAGGCCATACAAAAACAGGTGGTGAGCCAGAGCAAACCGTGAGATGGGCAGTAGGCAAGTGAAGAAGCACAAAACATCCTTTCAAATGGAGAGGAGGGCTAGGAGGAAAATAAGACAGTGTGAAATATGCCAGAGTGTGGGTGTCTCTGGGTAACACGGATGAGGAAGTCAGGGAAGGTTCTCTGACGACAGGACGTTTCAGCTGAGACGTGACATGAGACTCATGCAAAGATGGGGAAGGAAAGAGCTTAGATGTTCGGAGATAAAGTCAGAAAGGTGGGTGAGGACAAGATCCTGTGGGCCTGGTGAGCCATGGTAAGGAGACTGGCTCTCAATATAGGTGCCCTGGGAACCACAGATCTGAAAGAGGACAGAGGCTGTGAGGCTGGGCCCGGGAAGTTTTATGTCTACGAAGCTCCTCATGTGATTCTGATGCACTACCAAATTGAGAACTCTCCCTTATAGCATCCTAGTCACTTCCCCTCAGAAGTCTGACTCTGGATCATCTGTCTAGAATCTTCTGGAAAGGGTACTTCCAAAGGCCTTCTTTCCCCCACCACGTAGTCTGCAGTAAGGGCTTCTAGCTGGGCCGTGGTCTCACAATGCCCCATCCTACCCACTCCATGACTGAAGAATGGATCAAGACGTTCTGAATCACACAGGAAGTCAACTAGGAGATTCCTGCCTCACAAGAGGGACAGGCGTAAACTTTTACAGGAGCTAATTCAAGTTGGGATTCCCTGGAATTTAACAAGGATAAACATCTATCTGACTTTTTACCATATTTATTAAGTGTATTTAGTTACTCTCCAGTATACATCCTGCCATCTCCTAGAATTTATGATATAGCCAAAAGCTACTCATTAGGTTTACAGACTATTCCCCCAGTAAGAATTATCCAAGATATAATCATTACCTAAGAACTTGAGCTTTGATTAAATTTGCAGGCTTTCTTCCTCCAGTTGGAATTCTCTTAAACTCAATAATGTGAGAATTTCATTTAAAGCCTGAACCATATTTGGCTATTATGATACAACAGAAAGAGAGCCAGCCTGGAAATCTGAGATCAGGGGCCTGGTCCCAGTCTCACCCTACTGGATTCAAGCAAGTCACTTAGCGTTTCTGCACAGGTTGTAATGCCTTCATCACATCCAGAGCTCCTCTCTTCTGTGGGTCTTCTTTTCTGAAATCTTAGGAAGGTGATTCTCTGGCTTTTGCTATGGGATTTTCCCTTAAGACACTAACATGCACTCATTTGAACAGATTTCTAAAAACCCTGTTTCCTGATCATTTTCCTCTGCAGTCCACACAACCCAACAGTGCTAAGCACATAGTATAGGTGGGTGCTCAAGAAATACTTGTTGAGGGAGGGTATAACTCAGTGGTAGAGCGCATGCCTGGCACGCATGAGGTCCTGGGTTCAATCCCCAATACCTCCATTTAAAAATAAATAAACATAATTACCTCCCCTTCAACAACAAAAAGATAAAGTTTAAAAAAAGACTAAAGATGAGTTTATTAAAAAAAAAAGAGGTACTTGTTGAACAAAGTTTAGGATACATTTTCAGGAGACAGCAAGGGATACTCGGGGGGTGAAGAAACGTGCATTATTTACATTTTCTTCCTTCGACTTTGCCGTATTTGCTAAATTTTAAACAAAGCGAACAGCAATCCAAAACCTCCTCTAATATCGTTCCCCCTAAGGCTGGTCCACTTCCCCTGCACCGTTCCTATGGCAGAAGGTGCTCGTAGACTGTCCCTTCGCTTCCCTTTCTTTGGAAATCCATGACCATCCACCATGGGGAAGAAATACTGATTCTGAAGGGAGTCACGTCATCCCTTCTGGAATACGAAGATGAAAGCTGGTCTCGGAGGAAGAAATGCCCGCGGGGACCCTGGCCATACACTCCACCCGCGTGCAGCCCTCCTCTGGCCCCCGAGTCCCCCAAGCTCAACTCGCGGCAGCTCCAGACACTCGGGAAAGGAAAGTCCCAGCTTAGCCCAGGACACGCCCAGCCTTCTGCGCGTGCGCGCCCCGCCCCTGGGAGCCGCAGAGCCGCGCTCTCTCCGGGCTCCGTGAACGTGCAAGTGAAAGCGGCCCGCGAGGGAACGGGCGCCTCTTCTCCCCCTGGCGGACAACAGTGGAACAACCGGGCTTGGGGAGCGGTTTTGGCGGATAGGGGGTCGTGGAGGGTTGAGCAGAAGAGCTTTGACATCTTTTGGGACCTGACCTCGTTTTGCGGCAGCTTCTTTCCCCAGGTTTCACTTCCAGTTCAGAACAAGGGGGAAAGGAAGGCACCAACCTTGAGCTCCTGATATGTGCTGGGCCCTTTGCGTGTGTTATCTCGTTAAATCTTCCCAACAGCTTTACTGAGTTATTAGTCCTATTTACAGAGAAGGAAACTGAAGGACTGACTTACCCAGAGTAGCACAGCTAACTAGTCATGAGTCTGGTACCCAGGTCTGTGTGCTCCAAAGGTCGACCGCATCCTTAACCTGTTGGGCCTGGAGAAAGGAGAGCTGCTTCTCCTCTCTCTCTGAGAAGGCTCAGCAAGAACACCCAGAACCATTTCCAAGGTCATTTTAAAAGAAGCTTAGCTCATTAGGCATGAGAACTTTCCAGGCTGGTCCATGTGCCTGGGGCATCAGGTAGGAACCCAGCTATAGGTTAAGATACAGGAGCTCAGGGCAAGACCGTCCAGGTATCTGAACAGAGTCCTTCTCCAGGATCGGGGGTTGAGGGAGCACGAGAAAGGACCCAGAGGAGTCAAGATGGATATCCTCATTGATGAGGCTATCAGGGACACTGAAGGTTAATATCGGCTCCTGCAACTGGGGAATTGTTTAGGGATGAGAGAAGCAGTTTCTATGACACCCATCTGGTGACCAGATCTTTAGAAGAGACATACTATCCAGATGATGCCACAGCCTCCCCTCGCCTTTCAAGAGAGACAGAAGTGGATGGGAGAAGTGAGAATGTGTATAATGAGGCAGAGGCTGCTGGCCTGAATTTCCAATGAAAAGGATCAATGGTGAAATTGCAGAAATGTCCAAATTAAGGGAGCTAGAAAGCTGGCAGGTTGTCTGGGTGGCTTCTGCCCATGATCCTAGGGAGATTCACAAAGAGCAGCTCTCATTTCTTCACAGGGCAACTTTGGAAGAGACCAGAAACTCGAGGCAGACTCATGAGGGGAAGACAACATGGTTTCTAGAAGGAAAGGTGATACCTGACATCCTAGAAGCATGAGACAGTCTGGGCTTCAGTCAAGTTAACCTACAGTGGAATCCTGCCTCTTAGGAACTGTATGATGCTGGACAACTCCTTAATCTATTCAAACCTCAGTCTTCCCATCTGAAAAATGGAGGCACAAAGAGACTCACTTTACAGGGCTGTTTTAAGGATGATTGGCACAAGGAATGCTAGCAGATAGGAGATTAGTGGGCACTTCTCTGAATAAAATCTAAAATCCATCACGCTTTAAAAGATTGATTTGGAAGACAGAAGTGGATAAAAAATGGTAAGTAACACCTATTTCTATAAGGTAGTCTTGAGGGAAAAATAATCCAACTGTATTTCAAACTAGCAAGCTACCTTCCCCATCCCACCTCCCGCAGGCTGCCTGTACACTCAGCTTGCTCTGACCTGCAGAGAGTTTTGTATTCTATCATTATTTTCTTGCTCACATTTAGTCTCCTTGACCAGATTATAAACTGCTCAAATAAACGCAGTCAACAGACCATCTATTACATTCCAGATCTTGGGTCACTGTCAACAGATCCCTGAAGACCTAGTAGTCAAAGTTGCCAAAATAAAGGTGGCCAACATCAGGGTGCGGAAACCAAGAGTAAACATAATCGTACCCTTGCCCAGGGCCGTGGTTTGTCTGCAATTGGGATAATGTCTATGGTTTGGGCTGCTGGCACCTCAAGACTGACATCAGGAAGCTGTGGGCAAGCAGCTCAAATTTTCATATGGGTGGAAGTGTTTTCCCGAGAACGGGGTGAAAACATGGGGGTTCTGGGGTTTGGCCTGAGCAGGCTGGGCAGAGCAGGGACGCAATCTCACCTGCCAAACATGTTCGTGCTCCTTCAAGTCAGAACGCTCCAACAAGCAAGCAGCATCCTTCTTGAAAACAGCCTTAAGACAAAATACTACTTAGGATACTGAATGCGCCTTGCCAAAATGCAAGGAACACAAATGGGATGAAAACAGGTGGGTGCAGTAAGCTTGCCCCTGTTCTTCGTTAAACACACGCAAGACAGAACAGAGCCCAGGGAAACCGGGCTGCATGGGGGACAGGTAAGTGAGTCCATGAAGCAGAATCCCTCCTTGTCCCCCAAACCCCTCCATTTTCCGTTAGGAATGGCCAGCTTGTCAATGCCCTCCTCCTCCCCCCATCCCTCCCACTCTTCTGTCCAGGGGAATGACAGCAGGGCTGGGGCAGAGATGCAGATGCTGGGTAAGCAAAACGAAAGGGAAGAATGGGTCACGTACTCGCAAGAGAGGAGACATGATGCTGAACGTTCCAGAAACCATGATGGAAACATTCTAACTTAAACTGGGTGGTGACTGTGTGGGTGCACACCTATGTAAAAATTCACTAAGCCGCACACTAAAGATCTGTGCACTTTACTTATATAATCTACCGCCATCAAAAACCAAACCCAAACAAGCACCAGCCACAAGTTCCCTGTTTGCTATTCTTTATTGAAGGGTCCCACATCCTCACGGGACCTCGACCAAACCAGAAACCAGACAGGTCCCCCAAATATAGCAGGAGGCCTGGAAGGGGAAGGGAATGACTTACGATCCCGACACACCTCCCTGGAGACAGAAACCCACCACAGACGGACAGACAGACAGGGGCTAGGACGGGGGGAGACCACGCCTCCCTCTAGGTGCTCCCCTCTCTGCCCCCACTTGAAAAGAAAGTCGAACACTGACTACGCAGCACCCCAGCTCCCCACCCACCCATAGCAGCGTTTGTGGGACGCCCTGCGAGGGGCAGCCCCAAGGCAGCTTCCCGTCACTCCTTCACTTTGGTTCGCTCCTGGCAGCTCCGTGCCCTCTTCCTTCCTCCAGCCTCCGGCCCAGACACCCTACATCTTCTATCACCTACACGGACCTTCTCTCTCGTCTCTAGGGCCTCCCCGCCCCACGGCTTCTGGGGAAGCAGCATCTCCCAGGAAGGGGCCCCGCCAGGCCCTCTCTGCCCAGGATGCAGGGCTCACACAGCCGCCCCACTCTCCTTGAGGTCAGGGGCTGAGCGCTGCCGTCTCATCCGAGGGGGCGTAGTGTATGGGGGGTAGCGGGGCCCTGGGGGTCGTTGGGCTGGGTAGGGCTGGGGCTGCTGGGGATAATAGTTGTGCTTTTTGGGCTGGAAGTGCTGGGGTTCCGGCTGCGTGGAGCCCCCTCCCCGGGCTCGACCCCCTCCGTCCAGGGAGTTCCTGCGGGGACGGTGGGACCTGCGGGGACTTGGGGGCCTGCGGACAGGGATGGCCGGAGGCGGGGTGAGCTCCTCGGGGGCCTGGGGGTGGCGGCGTGGGGACCTCCCCGACGGCCCCCGTCGGCCCCCCGTCGGGCCCGAGGGACCGTTCCGACCGGGGTTCG